TTTTGACAGATAGAGATTTATTTGTAAAAGTTCCGGGCGGGTGCCGCTCGCATGGCACTGGCGAGTGTAGGAACTTTTATAAATGAACCCCCTAATCTCACAAGACTTGGAGCGATATTTTGTAATTTTACTCCTGTGCGGTTCAATTACCCTACTGATACAGTATACACCTATAAGGCTCAAGACACAGGGGTGCTTAGGCCCAGGAAGTACGCTGCTATTTTACATGAGCAAATCAAGACAAAAAGGTAGATTTTTTTTTAGGGAAAGCAAATCTTTATTCCTTTGAATTCAGGTCCACTTTTAGTTTATTTTTCTATCCCTTTTAGTGGTAATTAAAAACATTTCCAACATACAATTCTTTATGCAAGACTCTCATGGCAGCCTCGTCTTTATATACGGTCTCATCTACCAGCAGGGACAGGAAGTTTAAATGTAACTGAATTTTTAAGTCTATGTATACTGTATGTAGCCTATATTGAAAAAAGTTGTGATTATCTTTTATCTATCTTTTCTTTATGTGTTCTCTAGGTTGTATCCCAATGTATTACACACTGTGTTCAGTAGCGGTTTTGTACAAGCAGTCAGTAAAATTGGTGTATTAGTAATTGGAACAAATCGTTGGTGCCTGTTTAGAGTGAAAACCTGTCACTATACCACCAAATTGGTGTTTCCACGGTTAAGAAGATTAGGAAGAATAGTGGGCAAAAACCAGAATTGAAGGACCTGAACCATTGAACATTAAGGGTCTGTTCACACCAATGTGTTGCGCTATCGCACATGCTTCCTTGCGATAAGTGTATACGTTTCAGCAGCAAAGTGCACTAGATGCGCTGCGTTATCATTCAAAATCAATAGCACCCCAGCACACCTGCCTAGGGGCATGCATTTTTGGCCAGCACAATGCTCAGCAGCACATTAACATGCCCTGTGTCCCTAGGCAGATGTGTTAAAATGCTAAAATTCAGTGTTGGGTTTCGGACAGTAATTACCAATTTAAAGATGAAGTGTTGCCATACTTTGTACAGGCAGGTTACGAACAAGATGGGGAATGTAGGTTCGTTCTGAAGTTGAATTTGTATGCAAGTTGGAACAGGTACATTTTTAGGTGTAACTACAGCCAAAAAAAACATTTTTTCGTTTTGGATAGCATAGGGAAGGGTCACGTTTGTTTCGCTGTCTGTGCCCTTGTTCAGAACTAGCACTTGTTTTCGGCATTGTTACAGTCAAACAAGTTGACAAGGAAAACAAATAAAAGTGTTTAGCACACTGTACAGTACATACAGGGTTGTGACAGGGGTAATGACAGTCAGAGCCAACTTCCTGTTCAGTACCAGACCCGGAAGAAGAGGCGGGGCACTAACTAACAACTTCCTGCAGGAGGTACAGTACTGTACAGTAATACAATCCAGACCCACTACTCGTCTGCCATCGTCGGCACGAGCACCGTTACTAGTGGAACGGACCTCAGTTCGTAAGCACGGGTTGTACGTAAGTCGAGCGTTCATAAGTCGGGGACTGCCTGTATATGCAGTCATAACCGTGGACACTCTTACTCTTGAAAGAAATTGCCTGTTATGGTCACAGATGCTCCAGTTCTGTCAGGCATCAATGACTTGTCCTCTTTGGACTCCTGACGAGTTGCCATTTTACCGACTGTACTAACCGCTGCAGAACACAATGTTAAATACACCAGCATGCAACCTAGAGAGCATAGACAAACAAGGTAAAAGTGAATTCCAACTTTTTTCTTTTTCTTTATTTGTAGCCTACACAAATAAAATTAGGCCTATAATAATGGTGTCCACCCCGTACATGACACCAGGGAACACAGATTGGCTGTATGACACTGAGCATTACACAATACAGTCAGAAGTGTGCAGAAACTCATTAGGTCAATGAACACTTCAAATTGTCACAGCGGGGAGAAGAAGCAGAAGAACTAGAAGTAGAGACAGGATCCCCCATAAAGAGTTCCTCTTTAAGAGTGATGCACATAATTAAACATATAGAACTCATTACAACCCCAAACTTATCTCTAACGTATGCAAAGGACAGGGATGAGCAACCTATACCCCTCAATTTAAAAACTACAGTTCCCAGCATGCCTTGCCATACTCTGACACTCCCACTGCAAATTCATAAGTGTTATATGTTCTAAAGATTTAGAAATACTATTAATAACATTTCTGAAACTCAGTGACTTCCTGCCTTCTCTGGGGATCAACTTCCTCAGGAAGAGAAGTGGGATAGAGGCAGACAAGCCAAACCTATCCTCCTGAGGCTAAATATATCAATCCTAGCCACTTTTATGGAGGAGGAAAAGTTACTGTAATGTCACTTTTTCGTACCCTGGAGAAAAACACAACCTAGAGGAAGTGTGGAGTTATAGGAGTTCTATGACATAGTAGGAACACTCTCTCTATGCATCACACCTGTGTCATGTGCCATTTCAGTGCTGCTCACCCTACCCATCATGTGTTACATTTTGTTTTGGCTGCTTCTAATTACCCTCCTCTCTCCTATGTGACTGTGTCTCTGCAGCCACTCATTGTTACCCCCTTTTCCTCTGCAACAATGCTCCCCTTCTGTTTCTGTATGTTGCTAGCAGATCATGGCTGTGTTCTCCTATTGACATTAAAGCAGAACTCCAGGAATGTGTTTTTTTAGTGCACCAATTTTGTGAATGGTATTCTGTAAATAGTTCTGAGAATTGTGAATGGGCAAGGGAAGAGGAGAGGACAAACAACACTATACTGTATAGTGAAAACTATACTTCCTAGCATAAATAACCTTATAGTACAATGTTTCCTACAGCTAACCTCCAGGTATGAATTAGTTTGCATACTTACATTAGTCCAGCTGGGCCCATTGTAAGTATGCATATGCCATACCTGATCGGCAGCAAGGGATCCTATAAAGCACTATAGTAGCTGGAGATACTACAATACTGGCTGCCATCTTCCAGGTCCTGTAGGGTGCTGAGTGGCTTTCCCTCTGCTCTGAAAACAAAGAGAGAGTCACTTGCTCAGCACAGCCACCATTGAGAGAATGCCTAGTATTTATGTCATTGAATACAAGGCGTTTTCTGATTAGACAAGTGGTGGGGACATCATGATCTGCCCCTGATCCAATCAGAGATCGCCTTGTATTCATTGCTAAAAATGCTAGATATCGTCTGAATGGCTGCTGTGTTGAGCGAGGAACACCCTGAGGGGAATTGATCAAAACTGGAGCAGACAGACTCTGGGGCAGTTGCGCATGGCAATCAGTCAGCATCAAACCTTAAAGTGACATTAACCCCTTAGTGACGGGAGACGTACACTGTACGTCCCGCCACAAAGGGACCAGTGTACGTGACGAGTTATTTGCTGCATTAGAGGGCTGGTAACCACTGAGAATCAGCGGTTACCACTCATACAGGCCTTGTTCACACCAAATGCAGACCAGATCCGGTCAGGTTTCTGCACACGCAGTTTAGTGGGTTGTGCCGCGCTTTAGACGCGTTTAGGGCCGGTTTTGGTAAAAAAAATTAAAAATTTAAGTTTAACATGGCCTTTCAGGCACTTGCATGCGTTTTTGCATTTTGGATGCGTTTTTGATGCGTTCCAGACCAGATCCAGAGCAGGTAAAATAGGGCTTGCCGCATTTTTTTCATCCGGTCTGGATCCGCACGCTGCGATGTGAACTGGAGGTCAAAATAGGAATACATTGGACGCAGTTTTGATCCGGTCTGCACCTGCTCTGGTCCGGATCTGCTCCGCGCTTGGTGTGCCTCAGTATAGAGGCATTCATTAATGAAAGGGTTAACCTTTTTCAGACACCTGATACCTGGCATTCTGACAGCTCGTATCTCTCTCGGATTGTATACTGGCTTTTTTTTTCTATTACTTTCAGGGATACATAATGTATCTATTCCTGAAGGAAGAATGTTTCAGTTTTCTGATCATTGTTGGAACGTTCAGAAAACCTTAGTGACAGCTGAATCCTGAACTGCTGCAGGATCAGTGTCACTAACTTATTATTGGCTATTCTGAAGTTTGAAACAGCCTGATAATAACCAAAAATGTATTAATTTATTAAGCAGTAATAGTTAGATTAATTCACAATGACTGCTTGATATAATGAAATAAATAAAAATGTTAAAAGTTTTAAAAAAATAGTGAAAAGTGTAAAAAAAAAAGTGTAAAAAAATTAAAAATAAAGGACAAATAAATGAATGGATTTATTGCATTTTTTTTTAGCTGTGCTGGTTTTGTAAAAAATACTACAGATCAAAACTGGGGAAAAAGTATTTTTTTTAAATTTTATTTGTCCTAAGTGAGGCGTTAGACACACATATGTGATATAAATATGTAGCCCTATCTGTCCTCTAAAAAAACATATATAATATGTGTGGGTGCACTTTGTAAGAAAGTATATTACTGACGTGGAAGAATGTCAAAAGTGTGTCAGTCATTTACGAACAGAAACTAAAAACAAGCTCAGTCATGAAGGGGTTAAAGTCTAAATGTTTTTTCCCTCCCCCCTAAGTTAATGTCAGCACTTACCTTAAATTATGTTTCTTAATCCGATCTTCTTTCGTGTCGTTTTTATCTGTCCTCACGCTGCGATGTGAACTGGAGGTCAAAATAGGAATACATTGGACGCAGTTTTGATCCGGTCTGCACCTGCTCTGGTCCGGATCTGCTCCGCGCTTGGTGTGCCTCAGTATAGAGGCATTCATTAATGAAAGGGTTAACCTTTTTCAGACACCTGATACCTGGCATTCTGACAGCTCGTATCTCTCTCGGATTGTATACTGGCTTTTTTTTTCTATTACTTTCAGGGATACATAATGTATCTATTCCTGAAGGAAGAATGTTTCAGTTTTCTGATCATTGTTGGAACGTTCAGAAAACCTTAGTGACAGCTGAATCCTGAACTGCTGCAGGATCAGTGTCACTAACTTATTATTGGCTATTCTGAAGTTTGAAACAGCCTGATAATAACCGAAAATGTATTAATTTATTAAGCAGTAATAGTTAGATTAATTCACAATGACTGCTTGATATAATGAAATAAATAAAAATGTTAAAAGTTTTAAAAAAATAGTGAAAAGTGTAAAAAAAAAAGTGTAAAAAAATTAAAAATAAAGGACAAATAAATGAATGGATTTATTGCATTTTTTTTTAGCTGTGCTGGTTTTGTAAAAAATACTACAGATCAAAACTGGGGAAAAAGTATTTTTTTTAAATTTTATTTGTCCTAAGTGAGGCGTTAGACACACATATGTGATATAAATATGTAGCCCTATCTGTCCTCTAAAAAAACATATATAATATGTGTGGGTGCACTTTGTAAGAAAGTATATTACTGACGTGGAAGAATGTCAAAAGTGTGTCAGTCATTTACGAACAGAAACTAAAAACAAGCTCAGTCATGAAGGGGTTAAAGTCTAAATGTTTTTTCCCTCCCCCCTAAGTTAATGTCAGCACTTACCTTAAATTATGTTTCTTAATCCGATCTTCTTTCGTGTCGTTTTTATCTGTCCCTCCAGCGCTGCGGCGGGTCTCCGATCCATCGCTGACTCCTCTGTCCTTGCTGGTACTTCCTGTCCCACGGTATCTGCATGCGAGTGCACGCGTCCACAGACTAACCTTGTGTCTCTCCTCGCGTCACGGCCGAAAATGTGACCGCCCCAAGATGCTTTGCGGCCGCCCGAGAATTTTCACATTTTCAGACGGGGAAGACACAGGTAAGTTTAAACCGCTTTTAAAGTGTTTTATTTTTTTTACACTTTTTGCACATATCTACTGCTTGCTAGCACTAGACATATGCAAAAACACTGGAGGCTTTAAATTATACTTTAACTGAACAAACTGAAGAGAGAAGCTGTGGGCTGATCTGGTATGACATCAGCATACTTTCATTGGGCCATACACCTCACCAGACATAAAGACCGACCTTTAACCCCCTTTCACTAAATATCACATATCTTCTCTTCCTGCTGATATGAAATCATCTTACATTCATTAGTTAAACAAATGTTATTTATTACTGGTATTTATATATATTTTTTCTTTACTATTACAGTTTTTCCACTTCCTGGTCCTCTTATGCATTAGTGATGTAGCCCAGCCTATGCCCGAGATGCATTCTGTGAAGATTACATCAGCAGAGCATTGCTGGGAAATCCCGTCTGTGTACTGCAAAGTCTCACAGCAAGGCATTTTCCTGCCCTGAGATGATGTGCGTGGTCACATGTGCCAAAGTTCCAGGAAGTAAAGGGAGATGGATTCATCTGCCCTTAGAAAAAATGGCCACTGTGAAAAGACTGGGGAGGAAAAGAAAATTAAAAGGAGAACTATGGGGTTAAGGCTTTTCCCCATAGTTCTCCTTGGGGTAACGGGAGGACAAAAACTAGCGTCCTCCCGTCACCCTAGGCACAGTATACCATGATAAGAAATAGATAATCCGCGCTTCTGGAAAGGAGACTAAAGTGGAAATGTATAATAAATTAAGACCTAAAGCCGCTCTAGAAAGAGGATAGAGGAATCCTATCAACAGTCGAGAAAATATATATCAAAGCGCTAAAGGTGTAACTAATAAAAGACTTAATGTAACCAAGTGATAAAGTGAAATTTTAGGTTTAGGCGGTCTAGCTCTAAAACAAGTGATGTGTCTTACATGGAATCATAAAAAAATTATATAAAATAATGTTTATATACTGTGACCTATTCGAGGTCTTTACACAGTGGTTGAAATCTTATCGTCCCAATCATTTTTTTTGTTTTTCCACAGCACTATTGTACTATTAATTTTATTTTTATTTTATATAATTTTTTTATGATTCCATGTAAGACACAGTATACCATGAGCTGTAGCTAGCGGTATACTGAGACGCCGCAGTATACCGCAAGCTGCTGCTCGCGGTATACTAAGACGACGCAGCTGAAGCGGATTACGAACATTATGTCTGGATCTGCCCAGCTGCGTGACTGACAGCTGGCTCTGCCTATCAAGAGGCAGAGGCAACTGTACCCGTCCCCTCCCCCGTCCGTTCCGCCAATCAGCGCTGGCGGATCGGAGCGGGGGGAATCCAGCCCCTCCCCTGTCACGGCAGAAAGCCGTGACAGGATCGAGAGGTGAGCGAACGCCGGAATGTGTTCGCTCACCTCCCGATCTACTAAGCCGACGTGTGACAGTCTCATTGTCACAGGTCGGCTAGAACTATGAGGTGAGTGAAAAGCACTCACCTCATAGTTCTCCTTTAAGGAATATACAGAATAAAAGTAGGGCTGCGGAAATTAACGATGAATCCCTCGATTAATCGTTAATTTATTTGATCGATCAAAATTATTTTGATCGATCAAAGTTCTTTGGCTCCGTACTCACCTCTCCGCCGGCTTCCGGGTCTTCCGTCGGAGATCCGGTGACGTCACGGACATTGACGTCACCGGACTCCTCCCCCCTTCCACAAGTGGCTCTGTCGGCTAACAAAGGGAAGGGGGGAGGAGTCCGGTGATGATGTCCGTGACATCACTGGACTCCTTAATCGAAATTAATTGATTCAAAAAATTTTCGATTAATCGAACAGGAAATTTTTAATCATTACCAGCCCTAAATAAAAGGTCTGCAAATATCTAGAAGAATCTGTTTGTAAATTGTCATTACTAAACATTTCTAAAAGGTGTATTTGTTTAACTTGGACATTTTAAACAAAATGTTGGCGTTCTATATGGGAGAATGTGTGTAAGGTGGGTGAGTAGTGATGTTTATAACTAATGGTTGCTGCCTCCTTCTGTGGGAGTAAATACCAGCTCTATGGCCTCTTTCCTATTAATAACATTGAGTACATGTCAGATTTCCTATCATATCCTACTTTGTATTTGTGTAACTTCCTGTCCCCAGCTATGAGGGTTCTGTGTGACCGCGTTCTGTGTGTGTGCATATACAGCTCATACAAGAACGAGGGGAGTGTATTCTCCACACAATTGTCATATCACTGCCGTGCCGTGTGGAGGTGACGGCTGTCTAATCTTACACACATGCAGCCATTTCTAATCATCTGGTGTACAGGGTGCTAGGACAATTCTATACAGATCGCACAGACCAGCCTATATGCTGATAGAGATCCCAGAAGACAGGCAGTGTCGGCCATCTTACCGATGTGCTCCTTATAGTCCTCCGGGTCAGCCGCTCTGCGCGATCTTCTCTTTGTTTACATTCTTAGTGAAACCGGCTGGCCGTCACGGGCTTGTTCAGCAGTGCAGACAACCGCGCATGCTTGCTGTTACGTCATCAGTATGAGTGCCCGCCCCTCTACCTCCAGTCTGCTCTGCTCGATCCTCATATGGAGGTGGAGCCCGGGCTGTATTAGTCAGCTGTATGTCATGAGATGCTCCAGAGGTAAAAGAGACCCTGTCATTATACCCTCTCACCTCCACAGTACTACTAGTCCACTACAGTCTCAGAGCTCTACCTAAAGGCGTATTCCACTTCTTGCAAAAAATAAATAAGTGCATGCATATTGCAAAAAGGAAACATTTGTATTTATTACATTTGTGTATTGGAGCCTGCAGAGCATTGTAACCATGGTCAGACGACTGATCTCAGGTGCTATGTACAGGCCCCTGCAGACTAGTGATGTGCATTGGCTTGGTATGAAACCCAAAACTGTGACCGCCACCCCTCCTCCCAACCCAGCCAGTGGCAGCAGTTGTGACTAAAGGTGCCCATACACCTTACAATTATCTGCAGATTTTCTGTGGTCAGATGGAAAAAGTGCAACAGATTGGCCCAGGTGGAGATAACTCCATCCACACAGTTCAGTGTATATGGAGGAATCTGTTGCACCTTTTCCATCTGACCATAGAAAATCTGCAGATAAATTGTAAGGTGTGTGGGCAGCTTTAGTCCCCGTTCACACCATATCGTAGCGATGACACGCATTCATGGGCATTTTTTTCCCACGTTTGGCACGCATCGTCATTGAGTTCAATGGGTTCCTGGACTCACCACAAAAGCAGGAAAGTAGCGCATTTAGCAAATTCTGCGACATACATTCCACGTTTTTCCCCACGCATTCATGTGCATGCTCATGTGCACAAACACGCAGAAAAAATGTGTTTGCCCAGCCACATTGGGGTGCTATTAACTAGTAATAGCAACGCAAGTGTGTTCCACATTTCGTGAATTCGCATCAAACTCAGCACATTTGACGCACGTTCACGATATGTCTAGGTGTGAATAGGGGCTTATGGCTGAAAGGTGGGGAATGCACCTCTCTGCAACTGATCGGGTCAGGAGGGAGAAGTGGCACTTTTCAGCAGGCTTGGGAGAACTGAGTTTACATCTCTACTGCAGACTATTCATGTACAGGGGCTTGGTCCAAACTCAGTTTTCCCAAGGCGCTCAAAACTGTGACTACCACTTCCTTTCTCAGAACCCAATCAGTTGTGGCAGGGGCATTCCCCGCCCTGCAGCTATACATCACAAAGGGGTGGAGAATGCCACTGCCAAAACTGGGCCCAGGAGGGGGCCGTCACTCACAGTTTTGCACAGGCATGTGCGAAGCACCATGGACATCTCTACTGCAGACTAGTGATGTGCAAGGGAAAACTGTCGGTGACACATTCCCTTCCTGGCCCGATCAGTTGCGGCAAGGGCATTCCCCACCCTGCAGCTACACAAAACAAAGGGGCGAGGAATACCGTGGTTGCAACAGGTTGGGCCAGGAGGAGGGTGTGTTGCTGACAATTTTGCGCAGGCTTGGGCGAACTCGGTTCGCACCAAGTCCATGCACATCACTACTGCAGACTATTCCTCTAAGTACCAGGTGCAGACCTTCAGTAATGGAGCTGTATGAAGTTACCAATGGACTACAAATGCCCCTCATCACACTTGTACTCAATTGACAACTATGAGTCCATCTGCTGCAGTGGCTGATGGGACTTGTATCTTTTTTCATTCACAGATGCTGTGAATAAATCGGTGAAAAACTGATGCGGGTAGAGCAGCGCCAAATTCACAAATATACAAGAGGCTGCAGGGAGCAGAACCTTGCGATTTTGGTAAGAAGGGGGTAGGTTTGGGGCCGGGGGGATGCAGAATAGCACCATGTTCAATGTTATACCCCCAATATGGGTGTAACATGGTATAAAAAGGGAAATTAACCTCTGAAGTGATTGCAGCCATATTACTGCACTAGAAACAACATAGTTGAAGTGAAACAAAACTGAAAGGAGAAAAAATTGTGAGCAGGCATGTTATTGCAGAAGAGACATGCAATAAAATAAAATTCTATGTTTGTTTATAATCTTCTTTAGCACTGAGCTGTGCATGTGCTAGATAACCGAAGACCCCATACCTGGAAAAGACAGGGTAAAGATGTTGACACCGGCAAAGGGGAGGTGAGTTTAGTTATCCTTTAAGGCAGGGGTGGCAAACTCAAATTCATCGGGGGCCGCATCAGCAGTATGGTTACCCTCAAAGGGCCGGTTGTATAGGACTATGCATCTACTCTTTATTATCATAAATAGTTGCCTCTGCATTCAGTTGCTACTGGTTTAATATAATAATTTAAGTAAAACTAGCCTTGAAAACATCCACAAGAAACTTTATTGGAGACTGCTCAGACTGCAGCAGAAATCCCTAATCTGGCGTTTTCAAGTGACAGCTGTCACCTAGTCAAGTTAATGATCAGGTGACAGCAGCTCCATGTAAACGCATGCACACCGCATGTAATGATACGTGATATGATTACATGCGTCCAGGGAGAGTGATTGATTCCTAGCGGAATGTAAACATATCACGTATCTTTACATGCAACTTCTGTCACCTGATCATTAACTTAGGTGACAGCTGCCATTTGTAAAACGCCAATTTAGGGATTTCTGTTGCAGGAAAACGCAAGTTCCTGACACAGAAATCCCTAATTGCACCTAAAATAAAGGTGTGAATGCAGCCTAATAGTGGAATCTGGCCTTGGGGCGGCAGGGAGAGTAAATCCCTGACCATACACATACCTTGTTCTTGCAGTGTTCTCTTCCCTTCTCTTCCTTAGCAGCGGGGGAGGGGCGGCGATTTGCATATGAATGAGCCGCAATATTTACATATGAATGGGTCGCGGCTTATTGATATGCAAATTATCGCGGTCCATTCATATGTTAATATCTCGGCCGGTACCGGGACAGTGCAGGCTGCAGGAACAGCACCAGCAAGCTCCGGAAAGAGCACAGAGTAGAGAGGGCTGGGGGAGGTGTTTCTCTGGCCTCCCCCACCAGCGCCCTCTAGTGTCTACTGTGTGGTAGTGCCGGCTCTGCTCGCTACCACACAGAAGACACTGCTCTGCACAGAGTCGGCATAGCGAACCGGCCTTGGCTGCTGTGCGGGTCACATTACAAGGTCCGGCGGGCCGGATTCGGCCCGCGGGCCTTGTGTTTGCCACCCCTGCTTTAAGGAACTGTACTCGATACTTTTTATTTGTACTAACAGTTACATTTTCAGGACATTCCTTCAGGGGGTTCCCTTCTTCTCAGTCCAGTCTCTGTCACAGTACTACTCAGGCCTCATACACACCATCCTCAGTGCTTTCAGGCCAGATTGTGGCCAGAACGTGCTGGCTCAGTTTGCTGTGGAGGGGGCGTGGCGGTGCACTGAAGTGAATGGCACCGCAGCCACGGACTCAGGCCACAATGCGATCGGCTGCACGGGAACGCAAGGCACCTCAATGCCTGCGGCCCGGTCCAGTCAGAAAAAATAGCGCTTGCAGCTTTTGCAGCATAAAACAAATGTATACACTGTCCCACCACATCCTTATTACCTTGCCACACAATACAACAAACAAGCTGTACATATGATCAGTACACTTTGCATTGATATCTAAAGTTCCTTGATCAACACCATCTCCATAAAGTATAATCTACCATCCCAAGTGCTTTGCCTTCACCATCATACAGGTGAAACTCGAATAATTAGAATATCGTGCAAAAGTAATTGCAGTAAGTGCTGCAAAAGGGGCCCAAACCAAGTACTGAGTACATATGCATGCTTGTACTTTTCAGAGGTCCGATATTGTTCTATGTACAATCCTTGTTTTATTGATTGCATGTAATAATCTACTTTTTTGAGGTTTTGGATTTGGGGTTCTTGGGGTTTTCATG